ATTTGGAGTGGAAATCACAAGTGACAGTTGAACAAGGAGCTGAGAGATGGAGAGAAACGAGGACAAAGAGCATGAAACTAGAGCTTAACTGTAATCTAAAGAATCTTGTTGAAATTTAGAAGCAAAAGAGCATGAAACTAGAGCTTTTAACAACTGTTATCTAAAGAATCTGGTTGAAATTTTGTAGCAAAAGAGCAATCATATGATGTTGAACAGGAGATAGAGCCATAAGTTTTTGTGAATAATTTATATATGTATCGGAAAAACCCGTGCAAATAATGGGCAATAAAAGAGACCAAGAGATAAGAACAATTGAGGAAAGTTCGTTTTTACAATAGAATTTGTCCAACCTCAGGATAAGCTTATTCGTTCCTATGAGCATGAAAGTGAAGTTGCCGAATATGGTTGGCAACGGATACAACGAGTTCATGCTATAATGCAAATTATATACAAATCTTTCTGGCTGATTTGCAAATCCATTTGTACAGCCAAGGGATGCAGCGTAAAATGCACTTACTGCAGAATCCAACATGGAGCAATGACAGACTACCATTTGATTGACACTTGGCAATGTCCATKGCACACTGATTGGGGTAAGTCTTCCCATTTGAACCACAGACAGGTTTRTAGATGAGAGGACAGGATGCTGTACATACACAGTCAGGCTGAAGAGCCTCGTTAACAACACATTTTGATAGAGGAGGRCAGGTTATGTTAGCGCATAGATCGACTGTAGACAATAAGAATCGTTARATGATTGGTCTTCCTGTGGTATGGTCGACACAGGAAAACCAAGACATTATGAGAACCCTAAGATATTTCAAGCAAACTCCTGTGTAAAAGAAAATATCGGATCCAATAATGTCCGTGACCTACCGTTATTAATGACGTGACTTACCTGAACATTTGCGTGACAATTTAACAATAAACAATATACATTTTCAGGRGAATTTGAAATAATATTTCCCAAATAAATGGAAACGGTTTGTCACAGCTGTAAGTTTCCGAGTTCGGCAGAAGCAGCGACTTTGCTTTGCTTCGTTCTCATCGATCATACAACMAGTAACGGTTACGAACAGGTTTTGAAATAAAGTTTTCTTACCTCGATCTGTATGAGCAGCAATATAGAAAGAAAAAAGAAAAATATCCATTAATTTCAGCATTTTAAAAACAAACCAAGCAGAAATGCACTATTCTTCGTTTTCAGGTTACGTCACGGCGGCCATCTTGGATGAGCTTTAACAAAGGATTTCTCATTAGTATCCATTGACCATTCCTCCAACATGGCCGCCGGTCTTTTATCTTTTGAATCTCATGTGAATGGTTTAAAATGATTCATATCAAAGAATTGTATGTCATTCGTGCGGGWTCCCTGTACTTTTTAGTTTTGGGCTTCCTTTAGCAAATCCATGCCATATATGGAAACAAACAAAATGGCCGATTGTTGRGAAGWGTTTTCGCTATAATATCTGCAAGTTTCAGACAATTTCATGCTAAAAGTCGAGAAAATCGCCGAAAACCAGTCCTATCGTACTTCAAARTAAAAACCAGTCCTATCATACTTCAAAATAAGGTAAGATCACCATATATGGCTGCTAAAGGAAGGACAACTTTCTGGAGCAATTCTTCGATATGAATACAACCGCTAGAGAGGTGRATTTTTCAAATTTAAAGACTACTAACCACAGACTCCTTGRTTCTTGACAGTGATTGACACACGTAATGAGCATGAGCGTACTTTAAGTTGACATAGGTTGGCATAATCTTTATCGTCTGAACCACATACAGGGCTGGTKTCCTTGGAGCAGTCCTCGCTTTTCGGRCAAATGCACTTGGGAGAACTGTCTACCATCTTACATGTTGAGTAGTGCTGGCAGGTTTTGGTTTTGCAAGTTTCTAGGAAAGTAGTGGGATGAACGGCATTAAGAACAGCAACAGCAATAATAACAAAATCAACAACAGCGACAACAACATCAACAGCAACACCAACAGGAACAACAATAGCATCATCAATGACATGAATCATAGCAACATTTGGGAAGACAAAAGTAGGAGGTTTAAGGATATAGATATGAGATTAGGGAAAGAAAGGAAGAAGAAAGAACAACAGGAATTATTAACACAGTGAAGAAAGAATCAGATAAGAACACATAAAGTGAAAGACACAAGACAAGAAAGTTMCCAGGTTTTTTGCCTTCGTTTGAGGGCGAGATCCTTCTCCCCCCAAAAATGGAAAAGATCATGGGAACAAAAATCACTTACCACAGCGTCCTCTCTTTAGGACCGTTAGCGCCTTGTTAGTAGTACATGCATCAACCCTCAGATGGCATTCACTTTTATATGTCTTGATATTACTTCCACATACATCTCCCGTTAAGAATGAACAGTCATTAAGAGTGGGGCAGACACACTTGGCAGTTTTATACCTTGTAGTAACACACTTTGCAAAGATGCGATAACACTGGGCGAACGCACAGGCGGCTGTGAAGGAAAAAGTGAAAAATCGATAATACATTTGTAAGTTATGACTCTGAAATGGTTACAAAGCAATGAATGATATCAATAAGTATTGCAATTTACTTAAAGGCAATATTAAGAAACAGTAACAACAATATCAGCAGCAACAACATAAACAACAGAAGGAGCAACAATAACTGTATCAGTATCAAAACCAAATCTAACAGCACCAGCATTAGCAGTTCAACAGCGATAGCGACAACAGAAACAGAAACAGGAACACTAACAGCAGGAACAGAAACAACAACAGCAAGATTAACAATAGCAGCAACATAAACAACTACCGATAGCAAAAAAAATGCCATTGGAGCAACACCTTACCACAGTAGCCATTGTACTTGACATACACTTGGTGCTTCTTTGGGCAATTCAGAGCGACCATATAACACTTGTTTCTATATGAGATGAGGTCACTACCACAGACTGGGTTGTTGTCACGTGGGCAATCTTTAAGCTGAGGGCACGAACAGATCACTTGACCAGAAGAATCATCACACYGACCATTGTATGGACAACGTGTGAGCGAGCAAGGATTCGAAATGACACCTTAAAAGAGGAATATATAGGTGGATWAACTAAAGGCTAAAGAATTYAATCATAAAGTACMGGATGGATGGATGAAAATCAAAKGTAGAGATTGGTACATGGTTGTTGGAATAATTCGCAAGATGCGTACCACATTGACCAGCATGCTTGACGCGAATCCTCCTGTTTTTGAGGCAGTTCATTACTTTAAGGTGGCACTGGCTTGCATAGGTCGTTCCATCACTTCCGCATACTTGAGATATTACTTTACATTCGGTGATGGCTGGACAAAGGCATTCTGGGATATTGTCTGGAGTGATGGTACATCGTTCGAACTCCCCACACTTTTTGTAGGAACATGGATCTGTGAATCAATCAATCAAACCAATCTGTCAATCAATCAAAGTCAAGTTAACTACAAAAAAAATCATTAATACATACCACAAGCTCCTTCTTTAAGCATATAAAGATCTTTCCCAGTAGAACAAGCCTCTAACCTCAGCATACATTTACTAAGATGAGTCTTTCTGTCATTACCACACAACGGTTTATCAGATTTGTCGTCACACTTTGGACATTTACAAATAGGTTTATTGTTTTCGACAAAGCAGTCTTGGTTGGGATGACACTTGTGATCAGTGCATGGACCTAGTGTTGGACAAAGCAAAACAATCATTGTTGAATTCACATAAGAAGTAAATACAACTGTGAAATAGGTATATCGCCTGCAAAAAAAAGGGTTCTTTACTGGATTAGCCAGTGCAATACATTTAGACGGCCACGAATGTATGAAAATGCTGCTACTGCTGTTTACACTAGTACTACTACTCTACTTGTTCGGGTTGATTTCCCAAACTAATTTGAATTTTTCTCTCCATTCCATCCAAATAGAATGTTAGATATACTTTTGTTTAAGTTTTCCACTTACTGCAAGGTCCTTTGTGAAGAACTCGAATTTCTTTCTGTGAGTTACAAGACTTCACTTTCATTTGGCATTCGTTATTGTAAGTTTGTAAGTCTGAGCCGCACACTGGTTGAGGTGTTGATTGACAGGTAGACGGACATATGCACCGTGTTCCTCCACGTTGACCGGCTTGGCATTTGCCATAGTACTTGCATGTTACAAGCCTGCAAGGGTCTAAAAGACAATTTTCACATATTCAGTTAAGTTTTTTCTGTTTTGAGGTGGATGAAGTGTCGGTGAAAATTTGGGAAACGTTTGACGATGTGAAAGTAAGGCAAATGACTTAAGAACACAAAGTACTGTAATTGCTTGGGATGTGGAACAAAGCACAGACAGACCTGACGGCCAAGGGTCACAACATCTTGTAGTATTTGTTTTTACAAGCAAACGAATTCGTAATGTTTATATAACAACTTTACTCGGTCAAAAGCACTCACCACATGCGCCATCTTTAGTCTTTGTGATGACCTTCTTGGTCCAACAAGAAATCACTCTCAAGAAACAAATGTTGATGTAACTCTTTCCATCACTACCACAAACTGGCCTAATGTCTGTTGGACAGTTCTTTCTTCTTGGACACACACACACTGGGGAACGGTTAGGCGACTCGTGACATGTGGCATACATTCTGCACTTATGAATAGCGCACCCTCCACCTTGAGATGAAAAAAAGATTTATCAACATCATTGTTTCATTCATTTGCTTGCCTAGATATTTGTTCGTCCAATCGTTTATTTATAATTGTTTCTGTCTCTTCACCCGTTATTTAAACATCCATCTACATATACTGTCATCTTTTTTCTATTCATTTGTTCTTCTATTCATAGATTCGATCATTCTTTCACTTATTAATCCACTGATTGATTCATTTTTTTTTCATTCAACAATCAATTCCCCTATATGCTCCATGAAGGAACCTTTACTTAACAATCCATTTGTTTAATACTCCATTCATTTAATCTCAAGTACTGACCACATTTTCCTTTACTGGCAACTTTGAGCCCAATGTTCTTTTGGCATGCGGCGACCTTCAGCAGACACTCATTAGCATACTCCTTTCCGTCTGACCCACATACTAGGTCAGGTTTCTTGTCACAGTAGCTTGGATCTGGACATACACAAGATGCTCTTCTATTGGACAACTTACAGATCTTGCTGTCCTTGCAATGAACACCATCACAACTTTCTATTGAAAAGAACAAGAGATAAACACACAGTTATATTTTATATCGACAAAACGGAATCAAGGAATTGAGCTCTGCAATTTAAGATAACACAGTTCCATCTGGTGGACGAAAAATTGGATTCTTATTCTCAATAGAGCAAAGCTGTTTTGCCCCTCGAATGAATATGTTTTGAAGTGAAGGAGTCAAAATATTGACTCCTTCATATAAGTACTGTTCCGAAATTTCTATATTGAGTCTTACCACAATTCCCATCTCTGATAGCTGTCAGTGTGGATGGTAGTCCTATTTGCTCTTGTCTACAAGCCTCAGCTATAAGTTTACACTTATTATCATACGTCCGACCATCACTACCACAGGCTTGAGGTCCGACTGATGAACACTCTGRCACTTTGGGACAGCGGCATTCATAGTCTCCGCCAGGCTTAGCAAAGCAGTGAGTATTCTTCGGGCAGCGAACCATATGACAAATATCTGGAATATGATTGGTCGATGATAAATTACTTCCATTCATTGATTCATCCCTTCAACATCCAKTGRTCRAGCMCTGTACTTACTGCAGTATCCTTGTCTGCTGACCATAATGCTCTGCTTTATCCTACAAGATCTTGCTCTCATGTTGCATTCATTCAGGTAGCTACGGCCATCACTGCCACAAACTATGTTTACAGTACGTGGACATGACTTTTTATCCGGACAGACACAACTGGTGCTGCCTGCCAATGTCGCGACACATCTTCCATAAAACTTACATTTAACTTTGGCACAGGATGCTGAGAAKTGAGAAAGATCAAAAATCAGTATCGGTAGTATAACCACCATCATAGCCTCCCCATTTTTAATAAACAATTATCTGTTTAAACATATGTTTTATACAAGTGTCCTTATTTCTCTATATGAATCCAGACTTACCACATTCACCATACCGTACAATATTGATGTCAACCTTCCTAGAACAGCTTTCCACTTCCATCAAACATTTACTCTTGTAAGTCTTGGTTACCTTTCCATCGTAACCGCAAACCGGTGAGGCCTTCTCTGGACAGTCAGCCTCTTCAGGGCAATGGCATTCCAGAGAATTTCCAGTTTGCACGCACTTAGCAGCATAGGAACATTGGCGTGCCGAACAGGGTTTGGTTACGACTCCTAGAGAATAATATATAGTTTAAGATGAATGGGTTGATTTCATTCATTTATCCATTTCCTATTCATCCAAAGATTATTATGCAGCTTTGTTAGTGGATATCTATGGAGAGGACTTGAGCGACCTTATATAAGTATTTTATCTGTCAGGATCATTTCCTTTATCCTTACCACAAATTCCTGGACTGATTGATAACTGGAATTGCTTGTCACATGATTCTTTCTTGGCGAAACATTCGTTCTGGTAAGTGACACCATTACTGCCACATACTGGTTTATACACTGGTGGACAGACACTACTGCAGACACATTGAACGGTCCCTCTACTKGTCACYTTACAGTTAGCATTGTAGAGACACTTCACCATGGCACAGGCATCTAAGAGCAAAATAAGATGAGCAAAATAACAAATGTATCATAATGTAATTCCTTCAGTATGACCCTGAGTGGTCATCGGATTTCACGTGGTAGTACTGTCACATTTAATACCATTTAGMATCTATATCGCCAAGTTTTGACTCTGCATTTACAAATTTCATGCAAACATCATTAATGCAAACTACAATATAGCTGTTGAGCCAAAACATGATCCARCCACAGAAAACCWAAAACGGCTGACGAGCTTTGGCAAGCAGCCAGGGATTTTACCATGGAAATGTTATACTCTTACCACATGGACCATCAGAACGCAATGCTATTGGAGTCTGCGTGGTACAGGCCTCGGCAGCAAGGTGACACTTGGTTYGATAACTCTTCCCATTAGCACCACAAACAGGCTTGCTGGACTGAGAGCAACTCTCAGCTGGAGTACATTGACACTTTGTGGAGYYTGAGCCAGGGGGGTCCTCAACACAAGTACCATTGATGGTACYACACGTGGCCAGTGAACAAGGTCCTAGAGGAAGTAATCAAAAGAGCATTTGATCAATAGATGACCACGTTGTCGATTAATRATGAGCAAATTTCAAKTACTCAATTTGTTTGTTTGTGTTGTAGGTGTGTATTGAGAAAGGTTCTAGAACATGTGATCAATTGCATTTTGAGATTAGTTTTTCATGTTGTAGGTGAATAATAATAATGATCATGAGAACGGTTTTAGAACAAGTAATCTTTTATATCAAGGAGATAAAAACCATAGGTTTCTAGTAACTTACGACAATTTCCTTCG